TCTTCAGGAAGCCAATCTCCTGACAGTCGAACCCGAGGTTCTCGACTTCCTTGAGCACGGCGTACAGGTCGGCGAGGCCGTGTTCCGGCCTGTCAGGGGCGTCGTCGACGATCATGCCGTTCGCGCTCTCCGAGGACGTGCGCGGGCCGCGAACTTTATTGCGCGGCCGCTTGCGGCTGGGCTTGCGGACGAGGAAAGTGTTCGCCGCGTCCACCCACTCGTTAGCCCGTGCGACGCACTTGCGCAGCGACTGAAGCTCCGGCAAGGGGTAGTTGATGCGATCGCCCTCAGCCAGCACGGCACGCAGGCTGCGTAGGGGCGGTCTCGCGGTCTCAGTCAGGATCTTGTTCAGCTTCGCCTTCCACGCTCCAGGGACGGCCGCGCGCTCGGACACCTTCATCTGGATCTCCTGCAGCTCCGCGTCATCGAGGCGCTTCCTCAGGATCTTGCTGCTCAGCTCGCACTTGCACAGGTCGTCGATGTGGTCGATACACACGACCTTGGTCGTGCACGAGCACGTGATCTGCGAGAGGTAGCAGAAGACCTTACACTTGGTGCACTGGCACTGGTCCTCGACGCGGTCCATGCCTTCCAGGACTTCGCCCATCTGGAGCGATCGGGCTTTGTCGCGAATGCGCATCTCGCGCACCATCATCTCTTGGAGGCTGTCATTGAGCCTGAGGTGCGGGTACGTCAGAGTGTGCGTCCGCTGCTGCAACGAGCGAGAGAAACACGCACCACAGGGCGGTCTGGATGGAGTGGTTCTGCTGCGTTATCGTGATCAGAAGCTCGTCGTGCGAGAAGACCGGCAACTTCCGGTGCTCCTGATAGCGCCTCACACAATCGAGGCCGAACGGCAGCCAGTCGGGGAGGGCGAAGTTGACGGCTTCGTTGAAGTTGAACTGAAGGCGGCTATAGTTAGCGACTAGGCCACGCACGAAGGACACACGCTGGCGCCTGCAGGCAAACTAGAAGGACGCACCCCATGGTTGAACCCCGCGTGGTACGCCTTCGGGAACGTGATGACGAATTCGCCCGCGCGCTGGTTGCAGGAGTACACGTCGACGCCGGCCTCCTTCAGTCGCTTGGGATTCATGAGGGTGACCAACTGGAACAGCAAATCGGGCTGGACCTCGAAAAGATCCGGGGCTTCTCTTCTGATCGCCGCCTCGAATTTCTCCGCGTCCTCGCCAGGAATGCTATACCAAGTCTTTGTCTCACCCCAGTGCACTATAACAATCCCGCGAGCGTGAGAAAGTTTAGCTCGGAAATGAACTGGAACAAGCTCGTACTGTAGTTGATGCTGTACGTGTAGTGATCCTGTTCCGCCGATAACGATCAGCTGTGACATGCCAAAAGGAGACGAGGTGTGTGGCATACCTCATTGTGCCAGCAGAACGTCGAGAAGACCATACCGACGTATGTCCAGGGCACAGTCATGCCAGAGATGTCGCTCTTGATGTACCTGAGCAAGCTGTCAGGGAGGATGGGGATGTTGTTGAGATTCCACGGATCCTTCGAATATGGATCCAGCGGATGGGTCTCGAGCGTCGGCATCCCACTGCGATATCCAGAATACCTAAGTCAATGTAGAGGAAGTCCATCACACAGACCGAGCCTACCTGCCGTGCGTCGTCGAATGCACGTCCGCACCGTACTCGACCTCGACGGTCTCCTGCTGGCTCTGCACGAGGCGCCAGAACTCGTTCTCGACGTCCGTCTCCGTCACGACGACGTCGTCGAACACGTTGACCGTCGGGTCGTCAGGGGCGGGCTTCTTCGTCATCTTCACGTCCCCGTCGCTCTCCGTCTGCGACGCGGGCCGGTGCAGCTTGAACCACAGCCGGCGGAACTCTTGGTCACGCGCCTGGAAAGTGGACAGACTGTGCTCCTCGCCCTCGTCGAAACCAAAGTCGCCACCGGTGCCCATGAGGCACGTATGGCAAAACCATTGTCCCTTGGGTATCGTGGCTAGTGGTGGGTCGAGGCAGAACATATGGAAGCCTGGTCATGCAGCCTCAGTGAAGCGAACAGGGAGGCACAGCACCTTGCGCCACATACCGCAATCGCATCCATCGCAGAGCAACATCTCTTCACCACGATCCTTTTTCAAGCACACTTCGCAGTGCAACTGCGACCCCGTCAGACATCTGCCAGATCCGATCGCACGAACGGTACGAACCTCTGGGTTGCCGTCCTTGTCGGCCTGGCTAGCGGCAGACCGCGCAAATGGCAGGTTGTCACCGTCATTCGCAGCCGAAGCTCTGCGGGCTGAATTCAACGGTCAACCGTGGGGCCCACGCCGCGGAGAAACACGAGCCACTTACGCCCTGCTTGCTCCATCGATGTCTGCCTTGTGTTTCGCCGGGGCCGACCCGACGCCTCCTCCGGCGGCTCTGACAGAGGGCTGCTTGTCGCCGTTAATGGGCTGGACGGTTCGCTCTCGTCGTCCTCTCCTGTCCCTGACTTTGACTGCTTTCCCGCCGCGTGGGTCTTGAGCTGTGGGTCGCCCGGCTTCTTCGGCGAGAGGGTGGTCGAGTTGCGCACACGCTCCCGGTAGTTCTCGTACGGTAGAATGACACGGGAATATGAGTTCTTCATCTGTGTGGACAGGCCGGGGATGCCAGAATAGCCCAGGAGGCGGCCGAGGTCTGCCCATTTCTTGTTGCGAGTGACCTGGGAAGTTGCCACACCATTAAAGAGAGCGCCCGACCTGGAAAATTCACCAGTGGCGTACCGCATCATAGCCACCCTGCTTCTGGACCTCCTTCCGCAGCAACCACAAGTCGAGTGGTTTGTGGTTAATTGTGGGCACGGTGACGCGAGAGTTGCCCTGCTGTTTATGGTACCTGTACAGCTGCTCGAGAAAATTGACCTTGGCACGGGACGAGGCCTCGATGGAATTGAGGCGTTGCAAGCGGGTCTTGAAGCGGAAGCGCTATCGCGAGTATTTGAATGGCGCGCTAGAGCGGCGACAGTAGCGGGGAAGGCTCACCTCGGTGTCAGTTACGAAAGGCATATTCCAGCCGGCGGGTGGCACAATCTTACACATGCCGTATTTCCTCGCATTGTCCGAGATGGATTTGATGTATCCCAGTGGGTCCTTCCACTGTTCGAGGGTGGGATGGAATACGGGACAATCTGTGAGGCCGAATGGCCGATCGGTGGCGTTCGGGACATTGAGGCTGCGATTTGCGGTCTTGACGGTGGACAGGTCGAGGAAGGGCGTCACGCGAATGGGGGGCCCTTCTCTGAGATTAATGCGAATCGCACCTTCCTCGGTGACGGGGTCGGCCGCGTCGTCGGAATTGGACTGTGCGTGGTGCTGGAGGGCGGCGATGGCGTCGCTCTTGGATTTCCGCGGGGCACGCTTGCTCTCGGAAGTAAAGCTCTGGGAGGCCTCACCTGTGGCATTGGATGGCGGGGGAGCGTCGGGGCGCTCGATCGGGGTTGTGCCCTCGACTGGGATGGAGAGGCAGGAGGTGAAGGTGGTGGGGGGTCTGTTGGGAATATCGACGGGCATGGCGGAGGGGCGGGGGCTGGCGGTACTGGCGCGGGGCGAGCGACCTCGACGGGCGGGAGTGCCGCGAGGAGTGGGGCTCGCATGCATGGTGGTCGTGGTAACGGAACCCGAAGAAAGGACAGAGCGCCGTGAGTTAGAGGCCGAGCAGCGGTGCTTCAATATAGCCACCACCCATCGCCCTTCCCCGTGGGAGCCCCCAGCGCCGCGGAGTTGGGATTTCACACTCCGATCCGCCCACTCCCATGCTCGCGGCGGTGGCGCTCCCCCCGCTGCGCGAGTGGCTGGGGATACAAGGCGGCGTGCATTGCACGGGGCCCTGCCCCTGTGAGACGCGGTGGGTGGGAGGGGCGGCCGGGGGGAGGACAAGGGGACGGCAAGCGCGGGATCAATACTGGAGATCCAGCCCGATGCAACTGTGGCGGGTGGCCCATCACGATGAAACAAGCACCGCGCCACTCGACCCGGAACTTTGTGGGTGCTTCCCCATTTCCGGCATCTTCTCAGCGGCCAGCCGTCCTGCACCTCCGCCACGCGCCAGCCCCTCCCCACGCCGCACACACAACCCACACGCCCGGCCGTCATCCGCGTCCCCCCTCCTCCCCCTCCTCCTCCCTCCACGCCCCATCACACGCAATTAGCCTCCCGTGCCGCGGCCCACACCCGACCCGCGCAGGCCCATCACGGCCAACTGCCCAACATGTTTGGCCACAGATAACGAAATCCCACACCCTGGGCGCGCTCATCAGCGCTCTGTGGGCGCATCGGCCGCCACCTCCCCTCTCCCCGCCCTTGCCCGTCCGGTGGGCGTCCCCCTGCCAGTGGGATTCCTGCTCGTCGCTCCTTCTGATGTGCCCTTCCGATGATATGATCCCAGCGCAGAATGGAGCAACTTGCTGATCAGTCCGCGAACATGGCTTGATCTGTCACTTTGTTGCCGAGCTGCCACCGCGCCACGCCCCTCCGCTGCTTCCCCCATGAGACCTGCCGCCCGCAGTTCTCACCCCGTAGGCGTACGCTAGGGTAGCAACCGTCTTACGCAACTTACGGCACGGCGAAGCAGCGTCCTACCAAAGCCATGACAGTCGCGACGCCCGCGCAGACGAACACATCCTAGTCCTAAACAGCTGAGCGGAATGTACCCATATCCAGACTGGCTCCCACCCATTCATTGCCCCCTTACGTGACAAACATGCGCGAGTGAGAACGACATATCGCCCCTATCTGATTAAGTTCACGACTTGCCATTTGTCATGTCCGTCCAGTAGTGACAGAACCTTTTTCTTCGGCAACGTTCCCGAATGGCGGCTAGCCGCTCCGGCGGATCATCGAATGCAGTATGAGAAACTTCGATCACACGCACGGGAACCCTTTCTGCAACCCAAGTCTCCCTTCTCAATCCCGGCTGCGTTCCGCGACCGCAGCACGCGGGGACAGCGCTTGCAAGAACAAAAAAGCCCATAACAACAGGATAAATAACAGCCCCCGGCGAGACTCGAACTCGCAACCTCCAGATCAAGCAACACCAAGGACTCGCCGTGAGAACCACAAGCTTAGAAGTCTGACGTCATAACCATTAGACAACGGGGGCTTGCCAACTTTAAGTTTCATGCCTAACATGAGCTCGTAATGGCGAGTAAATAATTCAACATTTACAATACGATTGGAGAGGCTTGTTTACCATGGCCATAGCCCGTATGAGCTCGACAATGAAAGACTCTGCACGATTGACAGACTAACGTCCTGGCCGGCAGGCGGTGGTCCCGAATGGAGGAGTTCTTCTGTGACTTGGCGCCTGTCGCAACACTCAAGTGCATCCTAGTTGTATAGCAGGCTCTGCTGCATTGCTTGCCATTTGGGTATACTACTACTTAGTCCAGTATGTGTCCTGAAAAATCGCTACACGCTCACCTCCGCTACAGAATGACATGGGGAACGGCTGCGGCTGACAAAACTCTCAAACGTGCTACCGGTCACGATCCCGGGTCAGCGATGGCTCCTTGCAAGGATTATATGCAGTCCCGGAACCCTCTATGTTAGAGCCGAAAACTCACAATGCAGGCTCCCTCACTAACCCTATGGTTCATCCTCAGCCTGCACGGTGTAGTCTCGTAGACAAGCTTTCAATGTGAGAAATTTCATGCAGGAGCCTGAGAGCCTACCGACATCAATGAAAATTGCTCTCTATTTCCGCTACTCTACATACATGAGCTAGGGCGCGTCTCAGGTGCGGGCATACAGTACAGAGAACCAACCATGTACGGCACGCGGTCAGGGCAGTGTGCGAGGTCTGCTCGCTGATTAGAGCTGCCAGCCTGCTATACGCTGACTTGCCGCACGGAGTCACGGTTGATACGATCTACAATGAGGCAGCAGCCCTGCGCACTGAGCACACCTGCTTCGCTCGGCGTGATCATCCTGAAATATGAGTGTGATGTTGCTGTATAATGAGGAATCACCTAGAACACTGATCGCGCAAAAGCCTCGGATGCTTCAGGTCAAGATTCAACGGCCGCCATGCTCTAGGATGCCCCACTAGAAGCCGACTCGGCAGGATGAGGGCAGAGCCTGCGGGACAGCCGCCATTGAGCGGGGAAGCCGGTCACTTACGGCAGTTACTGATTACAGTCGAATAGTTGGAAATAAACCTGAAGGAGCGCTTGGTCAGAGTGACAACACCATACGTGAGGATTGTGAGACTCGACAGGTTGTCCACTGTCCCGTGTAGCCCGGGACACACGACCTAGTCACCAAAGTTGTTACGGCGAGTGCGGAGCAGGGAGAGGTTTCGGCGCCTCCAGCGGAAACCTATATCAGAACTCGTTGCTCGCACATGCCGCACGTATTTCCCGGCGGTAACACCACGGATAACCCAGTCTCAATTATGGAAATTGTATACTGAAGCTGCGTTGTCTGGCAGGAGTCTGTGTTCAAGGCAATGCATGCAATTGCACTATGTGCGTGAGAAGACTCCGAGAGGACGGGCATACAGCGACGCAATGAGCAAAGCTACTCACCGGTGCTCAGTGTGAGTGCTATGCATCAATGACGCGGATGAGCGGCGTCAGATTCGTGGCCGCGAGTGTACTACAGTAGCACATCTTGTGTAGAGCGAAGCGGCACATCATTAGCGTGTACACTACAGAAGCATGATCAGTATTTCGATGTGGGAAAAATCACAAAGCAATAACGCACCGGTCGGCTCCGCTCGTCACGCTCATAACACCGCTGTCGTCTGCATGCTCGACTTGCATCTTTACTATTCAAGGTCAGTGAATGCCTTGTATAGCGTATACCCGTCTACTGGAACCCTGTGACTCATGATACTCACGCATACATTTCATTAGCGGTGCTCCCTCCAACACGAAAAGGGTTTTGGCTCGTCGTCACTGGGCGAAAGTTAAGAAGGATATCGTAGTTTCATTGCTTCTATGCAGCACTCAAGAGGAGCTCATCGACTTCGCCGAGGATACGGATGTTGTCTGATAGGATTAACGTTGACGAGAACCGGTGCATGCACAGATTACATACCAGAGAATGCTTCGCAAGCCCTGCATGGTGGTCCGGATGCAGAACATTGCCAGGATGAATGCAAATAAGTTTCGATGGAGGCTGAAGCGACAGAGCAGGTACTAGCCAACATAGCGACCAGCCTTTGGTCGCCAAACCTAGTTCAAGACCAACGCCGACATTCACGCGTGCGGCGCAGAGCGGTATGGCTCCGTGGCGGAGCCCGATGTACACAAGCGCCAATTGCGACCGAGCCAGAAAAGGGCCGTGGCAGAGCCACTCTAGCGGAAGATATCGCACTCATTTTTCACCTTAACGTCTTCACTCCAGCGAAACCTGACATCTTATATCCATGGAAATAAATCCGGGGCAACATCGCCATCTGCAGGACCGGCGAGTGTCAGAAGAGATATCTAAGATTTCAGATGTACAGCGAGCAATCACCTCGCCCACCCGCTCACCGCTCATACAACCCTTTGTGACACCTTATTAGTACCGCAGAGGGCGGGCGCTGGTACACACACTGGCTGATGCTAGCGCGCGTTGCACGGTCATAAAATCTGACCGAATCTGTAAGCACATACAAGTTTCAACAGCAAGTTCCAAGCATAGCCCACTGCCTTGACACGATCCATAGTTACTTGAACGACGCCCATGACGTGAGCGACCAAACTCACCGGTTGCAACTTTTTTTGTCTTCATTTCGAACAATTCTGGTGTCCTGCTGTCCACGCTGGTCTGTAAATGTGCCAGCTGTGGTGCGCGCGCCAGGACTACCAGCGCATAGGCCGCTTGCGCGCGGCCTTTATGGAGTAACCGCCGGCCTGGCTTACAGGCCGAGCGGCGACCACGCTGAATGACACCTATTTAGGCCGGTGCTGACGGCAGATTAACACGCCAAACAACGTACCGCGTTCGACAGGAGACTTACAAGTTGTTTCCGTTGCTGGGCCATGCTTCGAGCCGGCGCCCGCTCTCCGTGGAGTATCCGCGGTCACCCAGTGGCCCCGAAGAAAATCAGATATTGGCCCTTCGTCCGTTGTTTCAGTGATACGCCCTGTCATCTCACAGCGACTCACCGTGGCCGCGCACCTTGCGGCTGGGAGGGGGTCTACATTTAAAGCGCCTCAATAAGTGGGCATCACTTCAAGGTGGGATCACTTCACCTTCAAGCCCTTCGTAAAACAATCGTAGCGTGTCAAGGACGACACGGGATCAATGGTCCATATGCGCTAGTAGTGTAGCACCCTCAGACCGACAGCCCCCACCAGAAACGCGGTCATTCGCCCGGCCTCTATGGTACTGTGGATAGAATACCGAAGCACAATAGCAAGACCACTTCCGTAGGCCACATCAGACGCACCCATCTGAACAGACGTCGAGCTTGCGAGCTCTGCGGTCTAATCACTGTGTGCGACAGACACTTCAGCAACATGATCGTATCTCCGCAAAGCGGTGATGACTATGTGCAACAAAGATTACGAGACGAGACACCTGAGGCCGAGTTGTAGCAAGAATCTCGCATCAGTCGCCGGAAGTTGGACGGTGAACAGCAGTGCCTCAACAACAACGACAGGACAACTGCGCATAATCTGTTACTGCAATTGAAGCTCAAAAAAATCATCGTCGTACTTACTATCCCAAGACAAACACAACATCTGCGCTTCCGGTCTGGATCCCAAGGGCAATTGAAGTGCCTAGCCACAATTAATGATAAGGTTAGTAGATGCTCCAGAAGCTTTGTAAGAGTACAAATGGCGCCAACGGTTCAGGCAACAACAATCAGACAACAACAGCGAAGCAAAAAACAAGCCTGATCGTGGTTACCAGGACAAGGAACCGTCAATTGCTGATCAAAGAACAATTGCTGTGACGCACCACAATATACCTGCCGACGACGACGACGGATCAGCAGTACGGAATGGAATATTGCAGAGGCTTCTGCACTGAGCTGAAGTTGTCAGCGTTACTCACCAAGAGGACTCATCACACAACACACGACATAATTCGTGATGAACGAAATTCCTTTCATTTCACTGCAACAAGAGCTCACGGCAACGCTACCCGCAGACGTCACCAGCTCAACGGCAGACCATCTGGTATCACGAGAAAAAACTAGGAAGGACGAGATAATAGAAGGATGGAATAATGGATGCTAGACGAGTGTAAGTGTGGCGATATGGTACGATGACAATGCGGGACGATATCAAAGCAGCGACAATGCTACCCAGACAAGAGGATGGTAATAAGACCCAAGCGCAGAGGGACGGTAACAATACGTCTACTCCTCGGCGGCGGCGGCGTCGTCCTCCTTCTCACCAGGCTTGTCTGTAACGAACATTAAGATAATGTTTAGGAATAGCAAGCATTACTTACCAGACTCCTGCATATCCGAAGTCCAGAGAGTGAGGTTGTCACGAAGCAACTGCATGATGAGCGTAGAATCCTTGTAGCTCTCCTCCGAAAGTGTGTCGAGCTCAGCAATGGCATCATCGAACGCCTGCTTCGCGAGGTGGCAAGCGCGGTCGGGGGAGTTGAGGATCTCGTAGTAGAAGACCGAGAAGTTGAGCGCGAGACCGAGGCGAATCGGGTGCGTGGGCGGAAGCTCGGTAACAGCAACATCAGACGCAGCCTTGTAGGCCTCGAGCGACTTGTCCGCAGAGTCCTTACGCTTGTCACCGGTGGCGAACTCCGCAAGGTAACGGTGGTAGTCACCCATCCTGAACAACGCCCGTCAGAATCACGTGAAGGTTGGTAAACACAAAGTACGTACATCTTGTGATAGAACACCTTCGACTCGCCGGACGCGGCCGAGGGGATGAGGTGCTTGTCGAGAACATCGAGGATGTCCTCACAAATCTTGGCGAGCTCACTTTCGATCTTCTCCCGGTAGCCCTTGATCATCTGGACCTGGGCTTCATTACCCTTGGACTCCTCCTTCTGCTCGATGGAGGAGACGATACGCCAAGAGGCACGGCGAGCGCCGATGACGTTCTTGTATGCCACGGAAAGGAGGTTACGCTCCTCAACGGTAAGCTCCTGGTCGGAGGACGCGACGCGCTTCATGTTCTCAACCATCTC